AAACTGCTGATGCTTCTGAGGATTGCAACCACTTCCACATGAGGAAATCAGTGGGAACAGCTGCAAATTACCCCGTAGCGTGAAAGGGAGACTAGAGGCGAATTTTAGATGTAAATGTTTAAAATGCCGTCGTTTACATGGTTCCTATGATATCCCTCCACCTAGATTCTTACTAAAACTCCTTACAGGGAATGAAGTACCAATTTATTTTCAAGGCTGAAAGGAGGTATCACTGGATTAAGCTCTCCAACGGATCTGCTGACGGGGCACCAATTCCACTCCCTCAGCATAAAGGCAATAATCCTTTTCTCCCCCTCCTCTTGTTTTATTTGGCGAGGCCACCGTAGCGCAGTGCTCGTGGAGAATCTGCCCGTTTGCCTTGCAGCGGGGAACATTGGTCCAAATGTGCTATGAACAGTAACCACTTGCAATTTTCAGGCAGCCTTTGGAGGATCTCAGCTTTTTGGTGCTTACCCACAGAGCTGAAGCCTTGCTTGTTGCTAGATGGCAGCAACTGGCATTTGTTAGTGAAATGGCTCTGGGCTCCCACCAGCCAACGACTTACCCTCCATTTGCTCTTTGCAAAGTTTTTCTGAATCTGAGCGCTGACAGATGGGTATATGTCACGGTGAAGGGCTGTATTTCCATTAATCCTGCAGATGGGGAGAGAAGAAGATGGGCTCGTAGGCAGATGGCATTTGTAAGGCATTCCACATTCTAGAGGCAACTAACTGCTTTGTACGTTCAATCAGCAATAATTAAACCCAAAGGAAAAACAGCAACAAAATGTAACACAAACACACACTTCAAAGCTCAGAAAAGCTCAGGATGGGATTTCTTCTTCGCCTCTGTTTATGGAGGCAAACACGCACAAATTGCATCTTTAATTATTCATCGCTTGCTTTCCTTGCACGCGCACAAAAAAAGCAAGACCTGGGGCCACGCGGAGGCAGACGGTGACGTTAATAACGGGGGCTGGGGACCCCCCCCCCCGTTCTCAGCTACACCGAGCCCGTGGAGCGCGGCACGGGGGCCGGCGGGTGCTCACCACGGGTGCCGCAGGGCTTCTTCGCAGGTAAACCTCACGCTCGGGTTCTTCTCCAGTAAATGTCTGATGAAATCCTTGGCTGTTCAGGAGGGGAGGGGAAGCAGAGAGAAAAGGTTATTTTCTCCTCCTTCCCAGATGCGATCCTAATAGGACGCGGCAAACGCAAGGGGATGGACGTGGCGAAGGGGAGCCCCGAGGAGGAGGCGCGTGTGCTGCTGCGTCACGCCGGTAAAGCCGAGGTGAAAAAATGTTAATGGGGGATGCACCAAACTTCACACTTAAATTATGTGGATCAGAGTTGAATTATTCTGCTGAAAAATAAAAAATGTAAGAGTGCAAATGAGCAGATTTAGAAGTTGCCCTAAAGAGCACTTGCACCCCTTCTAATTTTTTTTTTTTCAAGGAGGATTGCGGTGTTTTTTATTAAGTTCTGACAAACCTCCCGATAGCCAGGTTTGTACGTATAAAAGATTGGTGTTCGAAACAGGACTCTGACTTCAGTAAGCTCTGTGCAGGTGAGCTCCGTGAGCAGGTCAGTCTGGGGAAATGGTGCAGCCGACCCGGCTTGTTCCCCTACTTCCAGGGGAAGCCTAAGCCCGCTCTGAGCTCTCTGGCCATTAGTGAAAATCAGGGTTACGTTAACAGAGGCTTCAGCCTGGAGCAGAGCCGTGGTTGCGGGGCTCTGGGTGGCAGCTTGCGGGAGCGGCGCTTTACCTGACTCGGAGATGTCATCCCAAAACGGAGACTCGAACTCGTAGTAGCCTTCCTTAATCTTTTCAAACAGTTTGGTTTCAGTCTCTTCATAGAAAGGGGGGTACCCGCACAGCCTGGAACAGAGCAGAGAGGCAGCGGTGCTCAGCACCCCTCAGCAGCCTGCACAGGCTCCTCCTGCACCCGAGAGCGAGTGAGCAAGAGGAGGCGGCTCTGTCCATCCCTCTGTCCCTCACAGCAAAGTGTGCTGGTAAAGCTGCAGAAAAGAGTTAAAAGTTTAACTGCAGCAGTGAAAGGACAAAGCCACAGCTGGTACATAGCTGTATGGTGTGGGAGGAAGTGAAACAAAAAGTACCAGGGAAGATTAAATTATATTTGTAGGCAACTGAAAAAAAACAAAGCTCAGGATGAGGCACATAGTAGGGAAAATGTGGTTCCTTTCATCTCCGCTCCAGTACTTGATTCCTCACGTCCCTTTCGTTTCTATGGTCTAGTGGGTCTGTGCAAAGGAGGAGCAGAGCTCTGTGTATTCCTGCAGCAGGATGGGAGGTCCGGCATCGCCTCCGCTTGCTCGGCTGCTCTGCAGAGGCGGGTGAAGTGATGGAGGAGCTGGGAAACCACGGAACAGTAAGTGGGAAGCTCTTTGCTCGTACTCACAAGATATAGGTGATGACTCCAATGGACCAGCAGTCCACGGCTTTGCTGTACGGTTTCTGGGCGAGGACTTCAGGGGCTGCAGGACACAAAACCAAATGAAAATTCTGAGCAATAATAAATTATTTGATACTGGGAAAAGCAGTAGTTTCTTGTATGCTTGGCCCCTGAGGTGCTGGTGCAGAGAATTGGCCAGTAACAGCCCTATTTACCAGTTGGATTGGCCTGTGCTTTTTGCATCTATTTTCTGCCTTTGAACAGAAAGAACTACCGACAGTTTCTGCCTGCATCCTGAGGTTTTAACCAGTAAGCTGTGGATCCGGCCAATGCAGTCTGGTGGATGTTAAACAAATCCCATTATGTTAAAATTACTTTTGTATTTTTTTGATAAGTACATGACTAACGCTGAAATATATTGCTCTTAAAATTATCCTTTCTGTTGCACTTTTAAGCATTCTGGGATTTTGCAATCTTGAAACTCATTTGTAATCCAGCCTTTATGTGGTCCATGCAGTGCATCTGTGAGTAGCGTGTCGTTAACATAATTACGTATTTTTTTCCCTTCTGCTAGGCAATGTACTGCACATGCACAACCTTTTTTCCAGACAGTCCACCAGCACAAACTCATTCCCAATCCTTGGCTTACCGACGTATCCCGGAGTCCCACAGGCAGTGGACATGATGCCGTTCTGTTCCATTTTGGACAAGCCGAAGTCCGTGATCATGATTTTGGAGTTCTCTTCGGGAGTAAGGTAAAGAAGGTTTTCAGGCTGTAAACACAGAGTGGTCAGAGGTTGAAATTTGTGGTCGAAAGACGGAAAGGAGCATTGGAAAGTCATGGCATGGAGCAGGCAAGGCTGGTGGTTGCGCCAGCTCCCACAGCGCTGCCGCTGAGTGATGGGTCTCACCTTCAGGTCACGGTGAACGATCCCGTTTTCGTGGAGGTACTTCACTGCGGTCAGGACCTGGTGGATCACCACACTCGCATCTTTCTCGGTGTAAACGCCTCGTTCCAAAATTCGGTCGAAGAGCTCTCCCCCAGATACCCTGTGCAAATGACAGCTCAGAAAGAAAAAGACTGAAGAAAACCACAAAACAAAGCTAATCATGCTTTCGTGTTCGGTAAGCTGGTTTTCTGATCCTTTTACAACCACCTACAGCAGAGCTGTTCCTTGGGCAGCAATTGGTGCAAGGCTGAGGGCTGGTGGATGCTCCTGAGTGCAGTATCAGGGTGCCAGTAAGTGTTACTGGTAAATGTAGGGAATTTGGGTAACATTAGGAGGCAACTCCCGTCAGGTCTGAGCAGCAGGCATCCAGCACTGCGGCAGGACTGCCTCCAGGCTCTGCTACACGAGCAGAGAGATGGGTTTGCGTGATTGCTTCCTTTAGCTAAATTTTCAAGACAGCAGTAGCAGCCGGGTGCTCCGCGCTGATGCCCACAGTGAGCTGCTTTCTCTGCGGCTGACACGTTGCCCGTTTTCGTTTCTAGAAACCCTGCATGGCACAGCTTTAATTAGAAAGACTTCTGTCTCTGCCCTGCTAAACTGTGATGAATTCATTTGCATAAATAGATCCTAATCTTGGTTTAGAAACTTTCTCCTAAGCCAGCATGAGCCAAGGCAGCGTGAGAAGCGTCCAGGTTAGCTCACGCCGTGCGGCTCTCGCCTTGCTAGTGCACGAAGTTTTTACACGTGAGGGACTCGGTGTGTGGGTGCTGAAATGCTGAGCATCACCCCGGTCCTGCCACTCGCCTTCCTCTGTGCCCCACAAAGAAAAGGCTCTGCTGATACTTACAGCTGCATGACCAGGTAGAAGTGGGTTGTGCTTTCATAAATGTCCTCTAAAGTCACGATGTTTTCGTGCTTTATTCTGCAAAGATAAACGTGGGTCAGAAACAATCCCAGAAAGCACAAAAGTAGCTTTTTCAAGTGGGAAACCAAACAATTGTCTTGCTTTAATCACCAGTGTGAGCCACACACCTTGGGAAAGGACGTTCCTTCTACCTGGCATTACGGTGTAGCTATACTCACTTTTTCAGCACTGCTATTTCATTCTCCAAGCTGCTATCCCTTGTGAGAGGAGACTTCTTGATGCATTTCAGAGCAAAGAGCTTGCCAGTGCTTCTTTGCTTCACTAGGAAAACTTCCGAAAAGGCACCTCTGCAGAGAGGAGGAGAGGTTGTATTTCAGTAGGTGCTGCTGCAGTGAACGGGAAGGATACTTACAGCGAGAAAGAGGAGATAGCAAGAAAAAAAAATACGGTAGTAACTTAACTCTAAGTGGATCCTGACTGCAAAGCTAGAACTACGTCTCCAGGAGCCTCAAACTTAGGACATTCAATGTAAGAACGTGCAATGTGTAGAACTGAATCGATTGGGACTGGGGGGATTTTCCTGGGCTAAGGGCAAGCCCAGCCGAGGGGCTGGATCAACAACCCCCTGGCTAACGGGGCGATCGGCAGCTTGAGTGCTCGGTGGGGTTAACCCTGTGGAACTCTCTCAAGAGCCTCCACTTTAACAGGGCCCAAATCCTGCTTAATGCAAATCGTGTCTCCTCAAAGCTCCCATCATCAAGTAGCCCTTCACTTTCCCTGGTGAGCATTGCTCTGAGGACTGGTAGAATTGCAGTGAGGAGAGCCCAGTTGTGTTGCAGCTCAGGCGTATCGACCAACATTCTGTGTATCTAAAATATAAAATAACTGGATAACCTCAGTTAATATTTTCATTCAGCATCTAATGTATTTTGCTTTCTGTGGAGACTGCTAATGCCCGCGTAGCCTTAGTGACAAAGTGACAATGAGTGTCTTGTACGGTCCTGATAAGGCTTCAGCCCGGTGCAGCGGTGAGCAGGTATTTATAACATTCCTAAAGCTCACAATCCTGTTAAAGGTTTGTCTTAGGCAGCCGAACACGTCTCAAGATAGTGACAGTGCACGCTTTGCCAGGTCAGTCCTCGATAATCCTTCCCACATGAGCAGCAGGTCAATTGATGGCACTTAAATGGAACTTGCCACCAAGTCTGCAAAGCCCTGCAGGGAGCCGGAGGGCAGAGCGAGGAGGCGAGTGTGGTGGAAGCTCATTCCTGGCTGGGAAGTTGTTGCAGCAAACCCAGTAAACAAGGGCAGAAATCCCACATCCCCTGGAACCCACTGCACGAGGCGAGCACGCCGGGCAGGTGCACGGGCAGAGCATGGAGCCGTACCCGTCCGGCACTTTGTTCCACTCACTAATTTACATGTAATAGTTTCTTCTGGCACAAAAAGCAGGCGATGCTGGGACCTTTTCCTTGTTTTACACATTTTTCTCCTTTTATCCGTATAAGCTCTGAAGGCTGTTTCGTGGAAATGCCTTTTGAGTTCCTGAGAGCTCTCAGGGAACGGGCAGGGATTTCCTTGCTAAGGTCCCTAATCCAGTAGTTGTTGATGCTGGGGGATGGTAACAGTAAGTTTCCAGGTAGTTTTAGGTCTCAAATCTTCATTTATATTTTCCAGACAGTTGGAGTGGAGCATGTGGAAAAAAAAAATCACAATTTCTAATGCTATTTTTTCTTATTAATATAATAGTAGGAAATGAACAACCTACAAATCAGATGCTGGGGCATCTGTTCTATATATCTGTCCCAAACAGTTTATAATAATTATGCTCCTTATTAAAAAATGATGAATCAACAAGTTGGCTAAGAGAGAACAAAGCTTTTTCTAACCTCATTCCTTTAGAGAAAGCTGCTGGATAATTTAACTAATTTCTGAGGCTGGCCAGGAGCACGATAATTTAAAACACCACTGAGCTCTGAAGTAGGTGGGTTTTGGGAGCTTTGCTGTGGCTTCTATAGTCACAGAAAATTTGGCCACGACAGAACTCTCTGGTGGAGGTAATTCAATTCCTCCTCCACCACCTTGGAAATGTTGTCTTGTCTCATTCACATGAATAGGCAAATTAAGCTGTTAACTCATAGAGAAGTGTCGCACAACTCGAACACCCTTGTTCTTGTTTCATCCGTCGACTGAGTCAGGGTTTATGAGCTAAATATGTGACTTATTATTATAGAACCTCTCTCAGAGCCATCCCTTGACCTTGCCCGACCTTGCCCGACCTTGCAGCAGCTGCAGACCAGTGCGCTCGGCAGGAAAAGAGCGAAAACTGGAGTAAGCTGCCGTGCAGGCTGAGAGGGGACGGAGGAGAGGGCAGAGCTGACCCAGGGCCAGGGGGAAGGAGCTGCCTCGGTGCTGCTTGGCGAGCGTAAGCTGCGAGTCGCGGCCCCAGCAGCTCCCACCCCTCACTGGAGACCCGTGTCTGCCTCGCGGGGAGCTCGTTCCCCGTGATATTGGCCAGTGCCAGGAAGGGAGTCGCTGCCCCGGGCTGGGAGGCTGGTGTGTAGCGGCGGCGCTGTCTGGAGAGCAGCGGTGGTACTTACGATCCCAGGGCCTCCATGAAAATGAATGTTTTTCGGATGTTGCTCGTCTGCTTCTTCCAGGAGCTGCTGTCGTCCTCTTCCTTGCGACCCATCTCCTCCAGAGTGGAAGCAGGGAGCGCTGTGAGGAAGAGAGGGAGAAGAGGTCACTGGCATGGCAGGAGCTTACTCGAGGATCAGGAGTGCCCCGGGGCTGGCTGGATGCAGGATGCTGGGAATGGCCTTCGCTCGGCCAGACGAGTCCGGCTTTTCAAGCACGTGAAATTTCGTGCTGCTCGTGCTGCTCCCGGCTGTTGGTGCTGACCACGTCCCTGGCGCTACGTCCCGCTCCAGCCGTCAGCGCAGTGGAATACTAGATCAGCTGGGAAGGAGCTGGTGACCATATGGTAACATTCTCCTGTCAGTATACTCATTTAGAGCATGTTGGCAATTGCAAATGTTTATATTGTGCTTCATATTTAGTGGTTCAAAAAGCCCTGCGGAATGGTTGCTAATTTTAACTAGAGCATCCATGACTTAATGGATTAAAAGTTAGGTACAAGTGGCGATGGAGACGGATTATAATTGAGCCGCTTTATCGCTCAAATAATAAATAGTTTAAAGAGCTCATAACTACAGGGAGGGGAATTGATACGAAACATTTGTTAGAGCTTGCACGTGGCCTGGGAGGTGTGAAATGTTACACAAACATCTAAGCACTCTTAATAAGGTCAGGACTAACATTACAGACCTGGAAGTACTCTGGAAGGTGAGAAAGAAGCCCTGAGACTAGGAAAAAACATTAGAAGAGGTAACTCGTCCACACTGGCAGGATACAGAAAAAACGCAGCAGGTGCTGAGAGCAGCAGCACTCTTGGCACGAGGAGCGTCCCCTCGCTGTGTGAAGCATTGAACTTCTCGAGGGCAGGTACGGCTGCCCCCAAGCCCGTGAGACGCGGCTGAGCCTTCGAAAGGCGAAGCACAAGCTTTTGTGTAACGTTAAGCGTTTGGAAAAGGCAGAGTACTGAAGCACAGAGAAAGCTGAAAAATCTTGTTTCATGACAGACAGCTTAGATATTGAATTCCTCCTGAACCTAGTTTATCTCCTTAATTAGCACGGTTTCAGGGTTTTCAGCTCCTTGACACAATTTTTTAAAGGTTGATTTAACATTATTGAAAACTAAATTGACTCAGTTGTAAGCAGGTGAAGGCTTCAGTCTATAAAATCACCAAAGGCCAGCGTGCACTTGACCTTTATTTACCTTCTGGATTCTGATGCACGTGTAATTCCTAGAAATACAACTCCTGATTAAAACCAGCCATATCTTGCTGTTTAGGATCAGAGAAGATCTTCACAAAAATGCTGATCAATTAGCAGAAGCCTTTCTACCAATCGCTTGAGCCCAAACCTGAAGTTTTCTGTTGCAGTCACCCACCTATCCCAAATCTCTACAGATCTGGAGTGTCACAAAAAGCGAATTGTCAGCAGAGGCATTCAGCTGCTGGTGGAAGGTGAGTTTTATCCACTTTAAATAAATATCAGATGCATGAGGCCAGTGTAGTGTTGAATGTAAAATTCAAGATGACCTCCCTGATTGTTTCCCAGCCTCCTGTCAAGCAAAGAAGATCGTGTAAAGAAAGGCAACCAAGTAGGTCGTCCTGGCCCCAGGGACAAACAGTATTTTAGTCTCCATTCCTGTGCAGCCCAAGCTCTTTGGGGGCAGAGAAATCCCTCCCGGGGAGGCTGGACTGGCCACGGGCACCAGGGCTGAATGAAGAGTCCGTGTCCCCTCCATGGGAGGTGACGGTGGAGCTTCTCTGAATTTGGCCGATTCGAGCACAAGTTTCAAATTTGCCCAACATTTGCTCATTTAAGCTCGATTCCCTTCGTACTCTCATGTTTAATTCCTGGTGAATTCAACAAGTTTCTTATTTTGAAATGGGTTTTGCTTCTAAAGGAAGGTAGTGCCGTGTTTTCTGTAGGCTCCTGTGAATCATCTGCTCATCTTCTAGCTCCCTTCTGTCACTCTCTGCGCACAGCGTTTGCTTCTGCCGGGATCTGGAGGAAAGGCTGGATGAATAGCTCTGACTCCCTACGCGTGTATTTGATTTCCTGCTTTCTCAGTTTCTCTCTGCCATCACGAGCAAGTCATTTCCTGCCTCCCCTCGCCTTTCTGCGAGGAAAGGGAGTAAGTGCTGCTATTCTGAGAGCAAAATAACGAAATGTTTGAGTTGCCTGAAACGTGAGGGTGCACGTGATGAATACTTGCCCACCGTCCTCCTTCCTCACGTTGGGTCAAGTTCTTCTCAATACTTCTTCCTCTTTTGGATGCAGGCACGTATTTGCAAAGGGCTCGGTGCAGGACGCAGAGACCCCTCGGTCCAGCTGTGATTATGGGGTTTTGAGAGCTGCGATGTTACTGCTGCAGGTTCTAGAACTCATCTTTACTTTGTTTCTCAATCTGGTTAAGTCACTTGTTGCCCTCTGAGCAGAACACCATGTCTGATGTATTTATTGCCTGGGTTTCGTTATTGATCCAGGCCCAACAATGTCCTGACTTTCTCGGTGCTAGGGCACAGTGTATGGATAAATGGGATTTAGCGGATCTACTCGCTTAGCTGAGGAAGATTTACCTTCCGCAGGAATAGAAAACATCATGGCAAAAGTTGGGCAAACAGACCCTGTGCTTCGGCTGGCAGGTTTTCCTGCCGTACGACGTGCCCGTCCGTGCACTTCTGTCGTGCTCCTGGCACTCCTGGATTTCCAGATCTGTCCCGACACCTTCTTCCTGTGGGCATCACCCCTGCCTTGGGGGCTGAGTCTTTAGCCACAGCAGTGGGGTGCTCGGGCAGAGAACACCCACTATAAACTTGAAAAATGTGTTGTTTTAAACCCTGCACCTACGGAAGGGTCTGTGCTCACTCCTTTGCCCACCCAGTGTGACAACAGCAGAGTGTTAAGATTGCGTAATAACATAGAGAAGGTAAAGACCTTTGGAGATTAAAATGAAGTACACGACATTGCTTTAACTCATTTAGCTTCCCTCTTCCCCGTCATAACAAATGAGGCAACACACAGGATTTCAGTCTGATGAGTATACGCTGAAAGCAGTAAATAGTTTCGCTATTAATGTCTAACCTTTGGGCTCTTCTACAGACTAAGTCAATAAACGTGACTGCTGCTGTACTCTGTCTGATCCAGCAAATGACACGTCGGTGCTTAGAATGTAATGAATGTTATTATGACCTTGCTTAAATATTTCCTGAAGAAATTTGTTCCACTTTCATATCTCACAGTAACAAATCCATCTGCAGACAGACACTGCTTCTGAATGGATATACTGCATTAGCAAAATTATTGCAAGACATGATTAATAGTCTTGTGACAAAGTTGCATGTGGAGGGGGAAGATACACAGTGCTTTCATGATTTTGCCTTTAGAATTGGAAAGAAGTTTGCCCCCCAAAAAAGGAGAATACAAAGTCACAGAGCTTTGCTTTAAAAAATACACCAAAACAAGCAATCTGCATGTGATAGAATTAACAGCCAGGCCAGCCTCTGTGTTCAGGGACAAAAGAACAAGAAATTGAAAACACGAGCTCGCCATTAATAACAAATCCATCTTAAACATCTTGTATTCATCCCAGCACTCCATCGATTCAGAAGCAGTACGTTAGCTCAGTAGTCCCTGATGAACACTTGAGAAATCACAATTTTCATTATAAATATTTCAGATTCCTTAAAATACTTTTGAAGTAAAATGTCAGAAGGCAGCTTTCTATGAAATTGCTAAATATAACACGAGTGCTGTAGGATACTGGACTAACAGTCTACGCAGAGAAGTCCTCCGATATTTCCCTGTTACTAGATAAAATTCATTAAAAAAAAAAAAATCTAAACAAACAGCTTAGCCGGCATCCCACCTGCTTCACTGCAGGGGACAGGCAGGAAAAGCAAAGGGCTATTAAGGAAAGAATATTTTGCTTACCCAAGTCAGCACAAACAAAGCAACTCCCGTTGGCCGCTGCTCCGGGGCTCTGCGGGGATTAGAGCCGGCGGGTGCTCCACGGGGAGGAGGAGGAGGAGGAGGAGGAGGAGGAGGAGGAGGAGGAGGAGGAGGAGGAGGAGGCAGCGGCGCCCCGGCGGGGGGCCGGAGG